AATTTAAAAAATACTGAACTTGAAATGACTGAAGCTTGTTTAAATAAAATAAAATTTAATAAAATGTAATAAAATTTAATTAAATTTAATTGAATTAATTAAATTTAATAAATAAATTTATTAAACAATGTAATTGGGCCGTTTTATCTTCAGACTTTTTTATATTATATGTAAAATATATATTTTAAAATATATCAGTGCCTTTATTTTGTCTCAAGATGCACACCAGTATTGTTTTTTTTTCTAAGGAACATTTATAAAAATTACTTAAATGTCTTAATTGAACTATGGCCTAATCCTGGCTTAGTCTAAGCCCTGTCTGTGAAACCAGGCCTTTATATTTTATTACTTGGAGGAAAAACAAAACAAAACAAAAAAACAGAAGTGGGAAAATAGAGAGAAATACTAAATGAACACAACGGTAGGCCTAAAACAAGAACAGATCCCTCATTAGTCCAGCAGAGTGCAGCACAGTCCTGCTAGTCCAGGGCTGTCCAAACTCGGTCCTGGAGGGCTGGTGTCCTGCAGAGTTTAGCTCCAACTTGCCTCAACACACCTGACTGGAAGTTTCTATGCCTAGTAAGAGCTTGATTAGCTGGTTCAGGTGTGTTTAATTAGGGTTGGAGCTAAACTCTGCTGGACACCGGCCCTCCAGGACCGAGTTTGGACAGCCCTGTGCTAGTCTAAGCCAGTTTCTCCCGTTCCTCATTTAAATGTGTTGAAGTTGTATAAAATAAACTGTCAGTGTGTAAAAGAAAACCACAGATGGTGTGATGAACATTTACTTCATTCCTCTGCCAAAACAGTCATCTCATCATGTTTCATTTTTAAATAATCTACAGCACTGTATCTGATCCTCTGACCAGAAGTGGAGGGTGGTGTTGTTTTTGGAGATTTTTAGAAACGACAAGTTGATAAAGTTCAGCAGATGTTTTCAGTATGAAAGTCTGTATATCATCAGATGAAGTATAGCAAAAAATAACTGATGGAGATGTGGTATAAAGTTTACAAGGCAGTTTTCCCTTACCAAAACGTAGTATACTTCAAGTTTATTTTATTAAGTATACTTAAGTAAAGTTCAAGTATATTTTTAAGTATACTTTATGTAGTAAGTATACAAATATCAGTGTACTAGTAGTATACTTGTAAGTGTACTAGTTCAATACTCCTTGGGACTAAATTGGCCCACTTTCTAGTATATAAAAGTATACTTTTAAGTATACTTTATGTAGTAAGTATACAAATATCAGTGTACTAGTAGTATACTTGTAAGTGTACTAGTTCAATTCTTATTGGGACTAAATTGGCCCACTTTCTAGTATATAAAAGTATATTGTTTAGTTTTTTTCTTCTCTTGTGTTTTTTTGGAAATTCTGTACAGAAGATGTGTACTAGCGCCCCCTACTGTATAACAATGAAAACACGGATTCTAGGAGCACAAGTAGAGCTCAAATATATTTAGGCTTTTTCTAAGTATAAGTCAAGTATACTTAAATGTCATTTTAAGTATATTTCTGAGAAGTACATAAAGCCCATTTCTGAGAAGTACATAAAAAGTAAACTAAAAGTATACTTTCCTATTTTTAGTTTAAAAGAAGTATACTAATAGCACACTTGAATAAACTTCTTTTTCGTAAGGGTTAATGTGACCTATAGGTCTAATGTAAAGAAAACTGTTGACACTAATGTCCCAGAATAAAAAAATGTCAATGAAACATTCCTGATGGAGTTTGTAAAGTATAATATATGCAGTAGGCCTGTATGTAGCCTACTTTTTGTTTTAACATTTACAAAAAAAAAAAACACCATATAATCAGCTACATCGCAAATCTTCAGAAATATGGCAACTTAGGGTGGTCAGACTTCTGATGCTTGTAATGTAAATCAGTGAGATCTTTCTAACAGTATAGCAGATGCTTACATAAACTACATATAAATATCAGCCGTCACTCTATATCTCCCAATAATGTCTTAGTAAGATGATATTAAATGCTTAGTTTTATGATCAAAGCTCTATATAGGTTTAAAAAAAAATGATGCAATGCAATAAATACAATAATGTTTTATTGTAGATGAACAAATACGTTCCTTAAAAGCCCGATGATCATATTCATCTTGAAATTCTGCTAAAATTATTCTTAGTTTACTTCATAAATCAGTAAAGATTTCACAGCAAAAAAAATATGTAAAACATGAGGGTGGATGTATACAATTATAATTAAAATATAACTTTTACTTGCTAAAAATGTATCAGTCAGACGACAGAAGGCATGTAGATTTTCAGCAAACTTTTGATCATTTTGACAATTTAGAGGCCTTAGAAATTAAATCTTCATATTAAATATGATATATAGGCTTATAGGGTTAATATCATTTCTCTTTTGTGTTTCACAGGTTTATAATGACAAGGTTGAGCACATGATAACAGACTTTGCATTTTAGGGTTCGATCAAACTTAAAACTATCTTTCTCTGTGAAAAAGACCCCAGTAATCACACATGGATTCAGAGATCGCAACACTGTCTCAAATGGTGCTCAGATTTACAAACATAACAAGGCAAAATTCTCAGTAAGAACTCAACTGTTTCTCATCAAATTCTTCCATAACTGAATAATCTGAACTGCTGTCTATATTCATTACAGCTTTATACTCTTACTGCGTGACAGCAATGGGTTCATTTGACTTCTTCTGAGGTATTTCAAGAGAAACATCTGAGATAAAGATGATAGGTACGCATGAAAAATAACTGCATAAGCATCTGAGCAATGTAAATTTCTGGTGAATCTGTTCATCATAAAATAGCATCAAATAATAATCATAACCCTCTATATACCCTTTAGAATCTGAGAGACTCTAAGCAACATTCAATATGATCAATAGATCTAAAACAAATTGAACTCATTCAATAGATCAAAAACGCATATCATGCATATATATAGCTGTGATTGGAGTATTTTTCACTTTTTATAGCCTACACTTGCTGTACATCAACAATTGACTCATTTGTGTCCACTTTTTATTTCTCCGGAGGAATTTGTGGAGAAACATCTAAGACAAAGCTGATAATTATGCATAAAACATAACTAAAAATTATAAACATCCTCAGAGCAATCAAATGCACACATTTAATCTTTAAATGATACCTTTAGATTAGAAAATACTATATTAAACTCCTAATTTGCTGCTTATTGATAGAAAGGTATTGTTGTGGTAGTTAGAATATGGAGTGATCTAGATGATGCAGAATAAGACATCAATATGTGCTTATATGTGCAATAATAAACAGCCAATATTCTAGCAATATGCATGCTACTAAGCAACTAGTTAAGAGTGAATGGTGTTCCCTAATCTAAAGTGTTAAAATGCAATGATAATGATAATGAACAATAATGATCAAACAGCACAGTATTATCATAGTTCAGGGCTCATTAATAAAGTATTATGTTATGCACGCAGTTATGCATGATACTGGTTATTATCAGTCCTGTGGTGTTTTCACACAAAGTGACTCCAGAATCATTAAAGAGATTCACTGAAGCTTGAAGAGTTCAGTAACATCACAATGAGGAACATGTGTCACGGGTTCGTCTGTGTGCAGATGGTATTAAGAGCAGCTGTGAACCTTCTCTGCAATGATCAGTGTGTGTGTGTGTGTGTTCATCAATTGCCCTTCAGGACGTTGCAGTCAAAGCATCACCAGGTCACTGTGGGTCAGACTAGGACAGTTCACAAAGATGCATTGCAAATAGTCAGGCCCAATCTAAATATTTATAAGCTCTGATATCAGAACATGGAAAAACACTGGAAAACCAAAACAAACAAATGATCATTAGAGCTTAAACACAGACCACCAGGCACATGCATGCTCACTGTGGGAAAAAAAAGAGACTTGGCCACACATTTTCATCAAGGAAAGGTTTATATTTCAGAGCTTTGATGGACTTATTCCACCTTCAGATATTTAAAATACCATTAGATACATAGTTTAAAATGTACAGTGTCATTATTCTCGATCATTCTTGTGATTTAAAAGCTTAATGTCTCTCTTAACATTGCAGTTTCACTCCAGTTGTTATCTGGCATTCTCCAACGTAATCATTCTTACTGGAAATCACATGATCAGTTATGAGAACGGCTTCTCTCATATACAGTTATATCATAATTCAGAGTGATGTCTTTGAATAAAAAAGAAGCAATTTATACATGTACTGCATGTTTAAAAAACAGACAATCTTAAAATATATATCTTGTTTAAATCAAATAGCACCCTAACAGGGTTTCTTGGAATGAGGATTATTATTTCTGTCATTAAAGGAATAGTTCACCGCTGAAAATGTAGTCAACCACAGGCCATACAAGATGTGGATGAGTTTGTTTCTTCATCAGATTTGGAGAAATGCAGCACTGCATCACTTGCTCAGTAATGGATGCTCTGCAGTGAATGGGTGCCGTCAAAATGAGAGTCTTAACAGCTGATAAAAACATCAGTGGCAACCAGTTCATCAATTAATGTCTTGTGAAGCTAAAAGTTTGTAAGAAACAAATACATCAAGACGTTTTAACTTTAAATCATCGCTTTTGGGAAAAATACGAGTCCATAATCCATAATAACATTGGACTGTTCTTGCTTGTAAACTGTGCTTGATCTGTGCATATTTCTCTCCTGATTCAGACAAGACGACTTTTCATTGGAGAAAGCAATATTATGGATAGAGCATTTATATTTTAGCTGCAAGAGACGTTTTGAAGTTAAAGTGCTTTAATGATTGATTTGTTTCTTTTTGTTTTACAAGTCATTCATTAACTGACGGACTGGAGTGGTGTGGATTACTTGTGATGTTTTTTTCAGCTGTTTGGACTCTCATTCTGACGGCACCCATTCACTGCAGAGCATCCATTGCTGAGCAAGTTATGCAGTGCTACATTTCTCCAAATCTGTTCTGATGAAGAAACAAACTCATCTTGGATGGACTGAGGATGAGTATATTTTTCAGCAAATTTTCATTTTTTGTGAACTATTCCTTTAATAATCACAGTATAACTAGTTTAAAATGTACATTAGATAATACAACCAAAGAAAGAGGAGGTCAGCCCTCTCTTGCTGTCATCCAGCCGTCATCAAACACGTGCGGCAGCAGAACTGACGGAAGAGCTTCTTCTCACATAATCGGTTCGATTTGACCATCTCGCAGAACACTTCATCCGCTGGGAAAGACAAAGAGAAAGTTCAGATCTCAATCATGTCTAACTCATCGCAGATCTGAATGATCCTGGTGAGTTTGTATGCTCCAGAGTTTCTTACATTTGCCTCAAAGCGAGTCTTATTATTTTCCACCAACGCACTCAATAAAGGCTCCAAAAGGGTGTTTTTATAGTGATGTCATAGAAGAATCGTTTTGGTTCCCCAAAGAACCTTTCAGTGAACAGTTCTTAAATGAACGGTTAAACATTTCAAAAATCTAAAGAACCTTTTCTGCATTTGAAAGGTTCCATGGATGTTCTCGGTTCTTCATGAAACCATCAATACCAATAAAGAACCTTTATTTTTAAGAGTCTAGGATGAAACCCAAACGCCCTACACTTGAATCAGAAGTGCCACTGACAGCAGCGGACCATCTTCTGTCTCTCTTTCTCCTCTCTGGGTGATCTGACGCTCATGTTACGTAAGTTTGGCCAGACAGAAGGTTCCAGAGGAACGAGGGGCAGTGGATCCCGGTGAAAGCATTGTTGCTGTCCTGCCAAAGCTCTGCCTCACTCACATAACCGCCGTTTACAACAAGCCCTGTTTATCCAGCCTTTCACTCACGCATGACCCTCTTCCCTTTCATCTTCTCTCTCTCTTCTGAAATCTTTTTGCTCATTGTGTTCCTCTTTCTTCTCTCTCTAGCATCAGCGTTTATAGCTGTGCAACAACAAACTGTGTTAGAGTTGATTTGAAGTCTAAAAACCTCGTAAACACCCGGGTCAGGTCAGTTTGACATGACATCATCCGTATGAATTACTCAATGTGATTATAATAACAAAAAGCTCCTTGCAAAACTTTATGAAAAAATAATAAATATATAAATAAACAAGGCCAAATGGAAGTCAGTGAATACATATGAAAGTTTTTGACTTTAGAATCAAACAACAAGTCTCATAAAAGCTGACCAAGTTGCTTGTCCAAACTTCTTTGCAACAAAATAAAACCAACCTATTATACTTTAAAGGGACAGTTTATCCAAAAGTCAAACTCCTGTTATCATTTACTTTTACATTTCTTATTTCGTCAAACACAAAATCAGATGTTCAACAGAATGTCTCAGTGAATCTTTTTTCCCCTACACAGAATTGTCGAGTACCTGATCAACAACTGTGGGAATCCAATCGTTCTCATCATGTTTTATTCTGTTAAAAGTTCATTGCACGCCCATCACTGAATCTACAGTGCCATGGCTAAATCGACGATGCTTTATGCAAGTTGTGAGTTTGTACACTGAATTGAGTTAAGTTTGGGCGCTGAAAAATAATAAAAATGTTTTCTATTGCATTGTCAAACAGCGCAGTAAGCATACAGCGTAACCAGTGCAGCCTGATTCACAATCAAATGACTCTTATAAGCCAGAACTGATTAATTGAATCAGCCACAATGACTCATGAATCAGTCTTAAAGGAACACTCCACTATTCCTAGCCATATCGGCCTAGAAAATCGCTACTTTTCATTTTCCGTCTGTCTAAGTACACGAAAAGTGCTACCGCCAGACCCGGAGACCGGCTGAATGAATTCAAAAACGGTAAAACTCAACTGTTTAACTCTAGGGGAGTTGGAAAATTAGCCTATTTTCAAAAATAGTGGAGTGTTCCTTTAAATTCACGAGTCATCACTGTATGTGTACTTCAAATCAGCATAATTATTGACTGCTTGTTCATATGACAGACCACAGTTAAACATAATTAAACAGATCACCATCTAATCCATTCATCCATTCTGGTCTTATCTGAGACTGGATCGCAGTGGTATTTAGATTAAATTAGATTAAAATAAATACAATATTTAATAAAAATGCATTAAAACAACACACTTAATATTAAAAATACAAATACAATCAAATATGTGTGCTCATATGTAGAAATATAAATACACAAATAATTGATTAATTATTAGCCTGATTCACAAACAATGACTGATTCTACTTAATAAATCATTCACAAATCAGTGTAATTATTCACGTCTTGATCTTAAGAGAGAGAAAGATGAATTAGATAATTAAATAGATTATCTAAATGCATTTTAGCAATTAAGACTGTGACTGCTGAGGGTGAGAGATTAAAGTGGGGCGGAGCTATCAAAATAGGGGCGAGACCTTTTTGGGGTAGGGGCGTGTTTGTTTTGGTGATTTCAAATGTCAACATTGGCTACCAGAAATCACTTACCCCACCTTTAATTAAGACATGAATCATTCCAACAGCTCTAGTGATCTGCTGATGGGTTTGTATCTAATATCTGTATTATATGAAGGCACATACCGTTGTTACAGGTGGCGTTCATGATGCAGGTCCGGCTGACGAGGCTGTATCCCTCCTTACACTGCGTGCAGCTGGTTCCAGGACCCTGACAGCTCAAACAGTGCTCCTCACACCTGAAAATCCACAGCAAAAAATCAGCTTTTTACGTAAAGACTCGATTTTGATAAATGTGACCCTGGACCACAAAACCAATCATAAGGGTCAATGTTATGACAAATATTGTTATGATAGGACAATATTTGGCTGAGATACAACTATTTGAAAATCTGGAATCTGAGGGTGCAAAAAAATCAAAATAGTGAGAAAATCACCTTTAAAGTTATCCAAACTAAGTTCTTAGCAATGCATATTACTAATCAAAAATTAAGTTTTGATATATTTACGGTAGGAAGTTTACAAAATATCTTCATGGAACATGATATTTACTTAATATCCTAATGATTTTTGGCATAAAAGAAAAATCGATAATTTTGACCCATACAATGTTTTTTTGGCTATTGCTAAAAATATACCCAAGCGACTTAAGACTGGTTTTGTGCTCCAGGGTCACAAATGATAGTGACAGATTTCCTGAAAACACGAGGGAAGCCAGGCGATCAGAACAGGAGCATCATTAAATGAATGTCTACATCAACTGTTGCATCTGATGCATCAACGCCAGTGAATGACAGCCGTCAATCACAAAGTGCTTCTTTAGTACAGCGTTTCTGCAGGTTTTTATGAAGGTAAATTTAAGATAAAGTAAAGAAAATGTAAGGAATGATCTGAATGGAACAAAATACACCAACATGGTCTCTAAACATAAATGTCTTGTTTTAGCAATGCTTTGAAGTTTGAAAGATTGTCTTGTTTTCCAGTGCAAATTTCTAAAGACCATTTACTTAAGAAGAAAAATTACGTTGCAGTAAAATTGCAAAATGTTGCTAAAAGCATCAACTCACTTGACTTAATTTTGTTGAATTTCTCAGAAAGCAAGACTTTGCATGTTCAATCTGCATCTCAAGTAAATTTATCTTGATTTATGTTTAGATATTTGTACTGGAAAACATGCGTGCATGCAACATTTATGAATTTAAGACTTTCTGCCTCGATTTAAGAAGTTTTAGGCCTTCATTTGTGCAAGGGCAAATTAAGACGTCGAATACATTTTAAGACCCACAGAAACTCTGTAGTACTCTTTAGCATTAGTTACTTTATTAAACTCTTGTTCTAATCAAGAGCAGGATTCAAACTGTGCCATAAAACTGATGCTGGCGGAGGAACATTGAGCTCATGTTTATGACACTGGGCTTGTTAATTGAACCGCCCATATCAGCATCTCAGCGCTCTGCATACTAGTCCAGGTCATTAGTTCTGGAGTTGAAAGAGATCAGGTATCCTGATGTGTATCTGACGGCTCAGAGCGTTCACTCTGAATGCCAATTAATGCTCATTAAGTGCGCGTCTCATTCACACACCGGTCCACCGAGTTGGTATTGATGCTGCTTCTACATCTGACAAACATGACTGTTTACTTATTAACCTCATATGTATATTAACGAGTGAATCCCTTAAATTCTAGTTTTGTGTGCATATGGAACAGAACTCACTCTGGAAAATGTGATGGCTGACGCCATTGTAGCAATGTTTTGCTATCTTGCACGTTTGGTATCCACTATTTTTGACCAAAGTAATATTACAGCAACCAAAGACTCAATATGCCCCGCAATTATAACTTAGCCACCGTCGACAGAGCTGCCGTGTTTTGTTTTTGTTTAGAAAGCTGCTTTGCAGAGCACGCTTGAAGGGTTGCCATGACCACTTATTTTAAATGCTTATTATTTGTGCTCGGCTAATAAAGCAATCCAGTTTATGGAGTCCATAAAGCAGGTTGTGATGTTTCAGTATGTTGCATATTTCCAAGTTTGGATTTATTATGGACTTGTTCTTATTTTTATAGCAAGATCTGGCAACACTGCGAGTCTAAATGTACCTTGTTTACTGTGATTTCTTGCGTCGCAACTCTGACACGTGGTTAAATAATGTCATTAACATCTAGTTAACATGTGGCCAAAATGGAGTAAATGATGACAAAATTTCATTTTAAATGAACTGTTCCTTTAATGTGGTATCACAAATTGTGAAATTTTACTGGTTTTATATCGACGACTGAAATTTTGAAAGATGTCTGCTCACCAAGGATGCATTTATTTGATCAAAATGACAGTAAAAACAGTAATATTGTGAAATATTTTTACAATTTCAAATAACTGATTTCTATTTGAATATATATTAATATGTAATTCATATTATCTGTGATGCAAAGCTGGATTTCCAGCATCATTACTCCAGTCTTCAGTGTCACATGATCTTCAGAAATCATTCTAATATTCTGATTTGCTGCTTAAGAAAAGAAACATTTATTATTCTTATCAATGTTGAAAACAGTTGTGCTGATTAATGTGTTTTCAGGATTCTTTGATAAACATGGTCAAAAAGAACAGCGTTTATATAAAAAAGGAAATCTTATAACATTATAAATGTCTTCACTGTCACTTCTGACCACTTTAATGCATCCTTGCAGAATTAAACTATTAATTAAAAAAAAAAAACTCCTACTGACCACATAGTGTGCGTGTACAGAAAACAACAGTTGTGAACGTACTAAACAATTTTTACCCTAATTTGAATGTCCATGAATCTTCAAGTAAAGCATGCATGCTGTTTTCAAAACCAGTTAAAACACAATGAACATCTTTTATATAGTACTAAGCCCATTATAATTTGAAGAGGGCTACTTTACCATTATAAAATACACAAGCTCTGATTGACATAAAAATGACAACCTCTAAGGTCATCCATAAGAGCTGTGAAACCATCCTTGACACTGCATGTGTGACCTCTGTGCTCTTATACAGTATTTACTATATGTACTTTATCATTTGCTGGTATACGAGTTCAAACTGAATGTCTTTCAGTGTGGATTGGTTACCTCAGGGCCACACTTTACCTGTTTTTTTACGGCTGTCTGATCTATTTGCCTCCAGTGAAGCTCAACTGGACTCGGAGAAGAACCCGCCTCTACTGCAATCACCATCCGTGACCTTCATAAAAGCCTCTATTTGCTTTAGACAGCATTCATAAAGCAAAAGACTGTTGATTTATAAATTGTGGAGTGCAGAGGCGTATCCTCTCCCGCCGCCCTTATGCTGCACATTACAGGAATCTAAAACGCTGTAAATCTCAGCCATACATGAAAGATCTGTGCTGCACTTTCCTCTGCTGGTTCTCTCTGGTTTATCTGAAAAACCGACTGCTTATCGATCATTACACAGATTATACAAAAAAAAGAGCAAGCATAAACTAAAAAAAAACTTGAAATATAACTTATATAGACAATATATATTTATAGAATTCTATAATATAGGAATATATAACTTGCATATTAATATAAAATAAATATTATTCAATGTGAAGGTGATTTATGAGGACACTTTCGGTGTGTCCCCGTAATTCAAAAGGCTTAAAAAACACACTAAATGGTGTTTTTTTTTTTTTATCTAAAAATGCAGAAAGTTTCCTGTGAGGGGTAGGTTTAGGTGTAGTGTTTGTGCAGTGCGATAGAAAATACGGTTTGTACAGTATAAAACCCATTACGCCTATGGAGAGTCCCCATAAACCATAAAAACCAACGTAAGTGTGTCTGTGTGTGTGTGTGTGTTCATATTTCTGCCAGAGAGCAATAAGAAAGAATTCCAATGTAAATACCAAGCACACAATTCTTGTACCAAGGCTACAATTCTGCAATTCCAATGAGACATATAAGCAGTAGCTAAGAAAAAAAAAAAGAGAAAAAGCCTTGATGGCATAAAAGTTGAAAACAAAGACAAAGAGAATGACCTGACAGAAAGATGTTAGCTTGGCAGTCTTAGTACTTGACATTTTAACTGTACATTCTTTATGAGAACTGTAATGTTACTTTTATAATTATTTTTTATTTATCCTTTATTTTACCAGGATAGTACCAGTTAGATGCAAAATCTCTTCTTCCAGGGAGTCTAACAACATTTAGACCTGCACTAATGTGATAACAAATCAAAAAATGACTTAAAGCAAGTACATGTTTCCTTTTTAAGAGATTTTTAAAAACTTTTAAAGAGGGGAGAGCTTCCAGCATTATAACACTCTGCAGCTCGTTCCATAACAACGGGAAAAAAGAGAGGGCAGTTTTGCCAAGCTCTGAGCATACTCTAAAAGAAGTTTAACAGTAGATCTAGTGCTATAATTGCAGGTATAAAAAGATAAAAGATTACAGATATAAATTGGTCATTTACCTAACAATGCCTTAGCAATAAACAACAGCATGTGCATTTCCTTCCTTTGAGACAAAAAGGACCATCCCGCCAATTTAAATATGAAACACCTTTAATTTTAAACATCGTAAGAAAAATGTTTAATAAAATGCATCCGCATTTTAAAGCATCCGAAATGCATATTCATAACCCAAGAATTGGTGACAGTTTTTGCCTGAATGCAGCAGTACAGTGGTCATGTGAGACGTGTGCAGGACTCACTTGCGGCACATCTTCTGTGTGAATCCTGCCGCCTCTCCTCTGTAGTATCCGGGAGCACAGGTTCGGACGCACCGCCACTCCTGCTGTAAGTAGTCCGGCACACACTGAATGCACTCCTCCAGTCCTGGACCTGCAAACACAAGCCCACTGTTAGCTCAGTTCTCCATTACATTTGCAATTCATTGGGATCTTCACCTGAGGCGTGTTTGGGACGGCTGGTGACAGAGCCATGATGTTAACAGTGCAAAGTTATGCACCATCAGCTGAAGACTTTCTTGTCTACTTCCAGCTATCTGGCCTGATCAGCTCATCTCTAAGATTAAAGCAGCGGCACAAGAGACTTTCTCCTGCAGCAGGTCAACCATGTCAATGTGATCTCTTATAGAGGTGAATAAAAGGTTCTTTTATTCAGCAAGGATGCATTAAATTGATCAAAAGTGACAGCAAAGACATTTATGATGTTACAAAAGATTATATTTCAAAGAAATGCTGTCCTTATTCATCAAAGAATCCTGTAAAATAACATAGTATGGTTTCCACAAACATATGAAGCAGCACAAATGTTTTCAACAGTGATAATAATCGGAAATGTTTGCTTGAACAGCAAATCAGCATATTAGAATGATTTCTGAAGATCATGTGACACTGAATACTGGAGTAATGATGCTGAAAATTCAGCTTTGATCACAGAAATAAATGACATTTTAAAATATATTCAAATAGAAAACAGTTATTTGAAATTGTAATAATATTTCAAAATATTGCAATTTTTACTGTATTTTACATCAAATAAATGCACTTCATTAATGAATAAATGCATTTTCTTTGCTTAAAATAAGCGTTATCTAAAATAAAACATTAAAAAACTAATAAATAAAAAGTAATCTATTTAGACATATTAAAAATAATAATAATAATAAATGACAAACACACTTGGAAAGCAAACAACTCAGGGCTTATCAGGCGTCTCTGGTGAGTGTGTGTAATGAAGTAAGTTAATTAGGTTCTATGGCTGAGCAGCAGTAGTGATACAGGACTGGCAGCGGCTCGTTCGCTCCTGCTGTCCTCAAAACAATACAAACGCTTTACTCTTCAGTTTCTCGCTGTGAACTCGTTGGTAAGCAAGTTAAAGGATATCTGATCTCATTTGTCTGCTTTTGCGTTCAGTTAATTTCATATTCTGTGAGAATTACTTGAGTCGGAGTAAACAGTGTATTGCACGGATTTCTCGACTCGTTCCTCAAGGTCTGCTACAGTTTACCTGTCTGACAGGTTCTAGTAACGGAACGGAACTGGACGGTACAAGACGGGACAGAATGAGATGGGACGGGATGGGATAGAATGGAATGGATTAGAAAGGAATGGGATAGGATGGGATGAGATGAGATGAAATGGAATGGAACAGAATGGAATGGAATGGAATGGGATGGGAAAAATTGAATGGAACGGAACAGGATGTAATGGAACGGAAGGGGATGGGAAAATTTGAATGGAATGGAACAGAATGGAATGGGATGGGAAAAATTGAATGGAACGGAACAGGATGTAATGGAACGGAATGGGATGGGAAAATTTGAATGGAATGGAACATGATGGAATGTAACGGAATGGGATGGGACAAATTTAATGGGATGGAACGGGATGGGATGGGATAGAATTGAATGGAACTGGATGGGATGGGATAGAATGTAATGGGATGGAATGAGATGGAATGTAAATAAATGTAATGGGATGGGACATGATGGGATAGAATGTAATGGGATGGAATAGAATGGAATTAAATGGAATGAGATGGGATGGGATACGATATGATTTGATTTGATTTGATTTGATTTGATTTGATAGGATAGGATAGGATAGGATAGGATAGGATAGGATAGGATAGGATAGGGTAGGACAGGACAGGACAGGACAGGACAGGACAGGACGAGACAGAACAGAACAGAATAGAATAGAAAGAGATGGGAGGGACAGGATAGGATGGGACAGAACAGAATAGAATAGAAAGGATGGGATGAGAGGGACAGGATGGGATGGGATGGGACAGAACAGAACAGAACAGAACAGAATAGAATAGAATAGAATAGAATAGAATAGAATAGAATGTGACCTGTGCATGTGGAGCAGGAGATGTGGCAAGGGCTGCACTTCATTTCTTCCAGGTTAAAAAACGTTCCATTGGCACATTCTGGAACGCAGGTCATTCCTGCCAGACTTTAATCAGGAAAAGGAGAAAATGAAGAAGAAAAGATTAAACCCATACAGCAGTTCACTGCAATATTTCCACAGATTTAAAGAGCAAACATTGTGTAAAGCAAAAACATCAGTAAGACATCAAAACTATCTGAAACATATGACTGCCTACATTTACATAACTTTTATGCAACTTAAGGCCTATTCACACAGAACAGAACAGAACAGAATAGAATAGAATAGAATAGAATAGAATAGAATAGAATGTGACCTGTGCATGTGGAGCAGGAGATGTGGCAAGGGCTGCACTTCATTTCTTCCAGGTTAAAAAACGTTCCATTGGCACATTCTGGAACGCAGGTCATTCCTGCCAGACTTTAATCAGGAAAAGGAGAAAATGAAGAAAAGATTAAACCCATACAGCAGTTCACTGCAATATTTCCACAGATTTAAAGAGCAAACATTGTGTAAAGCAAAAACATCAGTAAGACATCAAAACTATCTGAAACATATGACTGCCTACATTTACATAACTTTTATGCAACTTAAGGCCTATTCACACCAAGAGCAGGACAAAAAATATATATAACAGGTATTTTTTATATATTGTTTTTATAATTATAATACAAAAAATAAACATTAATAGTAATTATTGTTATTACTATAACAACAGTGGACTTTCCATTATGTTAAATAAATAAATAATATTTGAATATCTGGAATATTATATCTACAGTATGTCACTTTATGATGTGCATCTTTTACCAACCATTAATGCAAATGATAGATTATTTTGAAATTCTCACTGTGATACACAAGGACAAAAAAAGATAAATCAGACCGTCAATTGTTAGTATTAGTTTGATAAATAATCAACCATCAAAATGTCATAACTGTCACAGCAAACACAACTGTCATAATTGTAACAGCTCTATTTCCAAATCTGTATGTGAGGCTCCTTTAAGCTTTTAGTGCTCTAAATGTGGCATAGTCTAAAACTAGTGTCAAACGAAAATATATTTTCAAACAAATCAAGAGTGACCAGTGATTCTCGGTCCAAAACTTGAGTTAATGTGCGTCTGAGAAAACAACTCTGCAGGCTTCTTCACGGTGGGTTGATCTAGTCCTGGCTAAAAGAGCTGTTTTGTTATGGAAGTGGGGTATTGTGGGTCAGCGGTTGAAAATGACAGGCGTTTCAATAATCTATGGAGCAAGTGTGACGCAGACAATGTGAATCTAAAAGATTCCATGCATTCGCTCTCGATCTGCGCATCACGATATATAACCCTGACAGATTAAACGCCGTTGAGAGGTCACGGCGCAAAGCGTGCTGCGTTTTACCCTTCACAAAACCAGACTGCCTTTCAAGAACTAAAGCCCGGTCTGTCTCAGTACGGCTCGTCTAAACCACAGCAAAGACAGCATGCATAAAGATGACCAGATGTACTCTAGATGTCCTGAACCCACACAAAACCCCAAAGCCAGACTTCTTACGCTATTTCATCCGCACCAGCGCGAGGCTACAGACGTCATGAGAATTCAGAACTCTGTATATATCGTGCATGGAGTGCAAAGAGGGGTCGACGTTCATTAAACTCGATTGGCTTTAAGAGATGTTTAAATGCTCAATAGCCGCAAACATTTGGTTTTATTTACGCAGCAATCAAGCAACAATCCAGTGAGGATTATCAAATGTTCTTGGGCCGCATCTCAACTGCCACACTCTGAGAGCAGCGGTTCAACACGGGACATGAAGTTGCGCACTTCTTTCTCATCAGGTTGTTTTGTGCAATTGCTGAACAGTTGAAACTTACTGTTGTTATTATTATTATTATTATTATAATTATTACAAAGAGGACTTTCCATTATATATATCAAAAAATAAATAAGTATTTTAATATTCGAAATAGTATATGTGCATTATTTTATTAACACTTTAAGAAAATAATACAATATTTACAAGATCACATTGTAACCAACATGCACAAAAACAATTAAATTAATCAAAATAAGCCTTCTTATAATTTTTAAATATTATTTTCCTTTTTTTTGGTGGTTTTCATTTAAATTTTAGAAAGGTTGGCTTAGCACCTTTAGTTAAAATAAAATAAGTTAGAATTATATATTGTAGTTTTAAATACTGTAGTTTTTATTAAGATTTTGAATTTATTTTATTTTTATTTTTTAATTTAAATCTCAGGTAAAAGTTTACTTATTTTAATTTGTTTTTCATTTTTATTAGATTTAGTCATAAATGTGCACCTATAGTTTTTATTTTTTAATTTCAGTTTTAGTTATTTTACTAAGTTAAACTAAATAAAACTTACAAATATTGCCTTCAGCAACTAGCTGAAAGTAGTTAAGTTTTTAGTTTCATTTTTTAATTTCACTTAACATTCAAGCTGCAAACAAACTGCAATCTATAGCCTTATGAACCAATTATGGTTACATGTTCCTATTTAGAGCACTTTTACTCAGCACAGACAGCACATTAAAGCAGCAAATACATTGTGTGTTTATAAAGACAGTGTCAATGACAATCACATGTATCACACAAACTCAAAACACTGATAACTGATTCACGTGCAAATGGACTGAATGCATGTGCACTGACTCACACGAAAGCGCTGTAAAGAGCCTTTAGCACTTCAACATTTTTCCTGTGATATGAAGAAAGGTTTTATAATGAAACAGAACCCTGTTGCAGATTCCAGAATTCATTCTTATTTATTTTATGATCGAATGTTTTATGAATTATATATTAAAATTGCCAGCCCGTAATAGCAGCTGTTTCCCACCAGATTTACACACTCTAAATGACGTAAATCTAGAAAGAACAGAAGATACTAGCAGAGAAAAAGACAAAAGCACCCAAGATAAAAAAAATACCCAATTTATCTCAGAAAAACAAAACATGTATGCATGATGGAAGTCATCACAGCATTTTTTTGTTCTTGTTGATTTGTTGTTTTTTTTGCAGTTAATTATTCCCAGTGCTGCACGAAAGACAGACAAAAAGAGAGAGGGAGAGACAAATTTAGACCTTTGAGTTTTATATTACCTCTAATTTGTTCCGATCAGCAGTGAGTGAAATATCTGGGCATCTGGATGCAATTCATACTTGGGTATGTGCAAATTTCATCCATTCACGCTGCCACTAAACACATCTGTTCCAGACGCATGGCTCCGCATGTGTTCAGCAGCTGAGGACGAGCGTGCAAACAACCATAAACCAACTCAAACTCTCCGTTCTCCGACTGTGAAAGACGCTCAATCAGTCTGATTTGTGGAGATAACTAGAGCTCATCTCCGTCCCAGCAGCTGTTATCAACAAGACGGAAACAACGAGGGACAAACAACAGCATGAAGCAGAATCAATGAAAGCACTGCCTTCTTCTGCTCTGCGCACATGTGAGCCACGCTTCACCGCTGACTAAACAAATACACTCTGTTCTGTGATTATATAGGCAGTCTTTAAAAAGAAAAGTTAAAGCCATAAATACGAATTCTGACACTATTTACTATTAGTTCACCCTCATGACGTTCCACACCTGTATGATGTTATTTTTTGGGAAACACAGAAGTTGAAGAATCGGTTCTTTTACACACAACTGCTCAGAGTTTTCACATCTGTTAGGCCTCAAAAAGGACAAAAACACTGTCAACATATATATATATATATATATATATATATATATATAAACAAAATAATGTGGGTTTGGAACATGTAAATAAATATTTTATGTGAATATTTTATTAATACTTTATTAAATTATCTCTCGCTCTATGTATATATGTAAAAAATAACATGATTAAAATATTTTTACGCAGTTAACGCACTGGCCCCGCCCCCAGACCTGTACGTCATCTTACATTTCATATAGTTCACTATTGACAAATATGATGCCCATAAGTGCAGTTATGCCCTAAAATAAAAGATATTGAGGCAAAAAATGCCCCTGTATGAGTTTTTGTCTCATATTTATATCATATGATAAGCGATATCACATGAGCAAAAAGAGCAGTATTACACGAGTGGTGATTTTGTCCCGAATATTACGAGTTTAAATGTGATTTTATACAACAGTTCAGTAAATAAGAAGTTGATATTGTGTTATATTTTAAACACAATGTGTTTTTGCTAAATTTTGCAGAGAATATATTAGCTTTAAAGCCATAGCAGAACTGTTGTGCTTCTGTGAGCAACACAGCGGTGATTAGTTTCTGAATGAATCCACGTTTTGAACGAATCATGTGAATCAATGATTCAAAGGCTCATTCATAGAGAGCCGTTTACTTCATTCCTGAATGAATCCGCCGTTTGAACGAATCGAATGAATGAATGACTCATAAAGACACTTTCCGCCACCTGCTGGCAGATTTAGTTTCTTATTTAGAGTATCATTTCATACAAAAAAAATTAAATAAAAAATAAAAACATTAAATTTAAATTCTGTCATCATTTACTGACCCTCATGATGTTTCAAAGAATGAATGAATGACTCATAAAGACACTTTCCGCCACCTGCTGGCAGATTTAGTTTCTTATTTAGAGTATCATTTCATACACAAAAAATTAAATAAAAAATAAAAACATTAAATTTAAATTCTGTCATCATTTACTGACCCTCATGATGTTTCAAACCTTTCTTTTGTGGAACATAAAAGAAGGTATTTTAAAGACTGTTGGTAACAAAGTTTTGGTTACCAATGACTTTCATTGTATGAACAAAAAACACTGAGATGTTTTATTAAATTATCTTCTTTTATGTTCCATAGTTTACGTTAGGTCATTGTAGCCTAAATGTTTATGAGTAATACATTTTATGTTGAATCAAATAAAACATTTCTTTCTAAAGCTACAGTTTGTAATGTCTACTTGATACTTTCTCATTTAACACAAAAATAGCTTCAAATTTATTTTGTGATTAATTAGATTATGAATTATATATTTATATGTATATGTATATATAATGTAAATTTTAATAACATAAATGACTACTTTAACATTTACACAGTACACTGTTATGTGTTTTATGCTTATCAGAGTACCACATCATTAGCTTAGTAGTACGAGGATAGCAAAATCTATAATTTATTAATTTATTTTAATTAACTGGTTAATTTGCCTGAAATTAATCATAAAACTTTGCAGTACTGCAAGTACTGTTGGCTCTTTGGTGATAAATCGCTTATGACGTTCATCATTTATAAGTTGCTTTGGCACCTTAAATTAGTAAAATAATAATTAAATAGAAATAAATAGAAATAATGATCGAAATAAATAGAAGTAATAGAAGTAAATAAATGGACGATATACTGCGTTTCTTTTAAATTATTATTAAAAGTGACAGACCTCGGTTTGGTATTTACTAGATACATACGGTTCTATATGGTTGTATAGAAACTTCAGCTCAAACTCATAAGTGAAATGTATCAGTGGACGTCCCATATTGGTCAGACTTACCGTCGTCGTGGAAGCAGCCGGCGGGACAGGTCTCCACACAGGTGCTCTCCTTCGAGTAGAAGTAGAGCCCTCTCCGGCAGGAGCGGCACTCGTTCGGCCCACGAGCCACACACTTCTCACAGCCTCGGTGACAGCGGCGACATCTGCGGGCCTCTCCGTCCTCAAAATAACCCAGCGGACAGTGACTTACACACGTCCTGTGAGGGGGACAGGAAGAAAAGCAGCATCAATCTGTTGACAATGAGGAAAACAAAAAAGACTTAATTCAATTAGGGTTGTAACGATATACCGGTATGAGGGTTTATCATGGTTTGAACGTGCACGGTTATCATACGGAAAACATTTGCATATCTATGGTTAAAAAAAAAAAAGAATGAAAAAAAATTTCACCCACGCACATGCAACGTATTTCCGCTCGGCTGCTTCACTCTGCATTCACTCGGCTGCTTACACGCACGTGCAGCAGAGAAAATGACAGAGACAGAGATTATATCTCATCTCCATCCCCGCCGAAAAAAAGTTAATATCTGCAGTATGGGAATACTTCGGATTTTTAAAAAAATGAACGCGGGGTTGTCCTTGAGGAAGGATCCAATTTGCAAAAAATGTGGATGCAAAGTGGCTGCAAAAGCAGGCAATACATCCAACATCTTCGCTCATATTCGCGGACACCATCCCTCTGTGCAGATGAAGGTGTGTCGCATTAATAACAAGTTATAAGTTAAAGTCACCATGAAATCAAAATAGAAAATTCTTATTTTTTAATGGAATACTGTAGTGTTTATTATAAATAATTTATCCGTGCACTTAATTTTTTTTTTAATTCATGTGCCCTCGTAATCTTTAATCAAAAACGTTAACCTCCCCTCCCCCTCAAAACGACTCATCTTCTCTTCCGGTCACGAGCTATGGTGCAAGGGCGGAGCTAGTGACTGAGGGGTAAGCTCTGGGATAAACGACAGGGGGAAAAGCTGAAGCTGATGCTTCTTCACTTTATAGCACTTACACCAGTCATGAGGGAGTACGTTACCCCTAAACATTGAAAAGATATTAGGATATTACCACAACATTACTCTTAGGACATCGCAAACTAATTTTTTTCATGAATATGACTTAACCTGATGGAGGAC